TTCATTTTGGAAACCGTTATTAAAGGCAGCATTAGCTGCAGTAGGATGATGGTGGGGGTGCGGGCGAATGTGATTCCTCATTCTGTGTTGTCTTGGGTGGTTGAAGGTTGACATGCTGTCACAGGATAAATCAGATTCCTCCATCGTCGGTACATGTAGTATGGGCGACACAAGTGGGCGTCGACGATTCTTTGAGGGACTGCGGTGCCTACGAGGGGACAGTGAGGGTCTTGACTGTCCCCTCGGCCGTCTCCTAACAAGGTAGAACACAGAGTCGTGTTTGAAACCACTGGAGCTACTGCTTCTGCCACTGCTGATGCTGCTGTTTCTGCTCTCATTAAGGCTGGAGTTCCTAGCGCTTTTGCCGCGACGCCAAAAAGCTCTTCTCCGCTGGGGCCGTTCATTATATGGAGCGGAGTATGCGTTTCCCTCGGAGTTCTGTTGTTTTCGCCATCGACCACTTCGGTTTCGGGTCCTTGATCGGCCTTCCCACTCCACGAACATACTCTGTTGGGCAATCTTATCTCTCTTGTTTTGATCCTTGGTTAATGATGGCTGATGGTTCACCCGGATTGTGGACACCGTCATTGGTGACGACAGCAGCCTTGGTGTTCCCATTGGCATACCGGTGCTTTCTGGACTTCTGTCTCCCGAGCTTCGCCATGTGTGGGTAGGGCCGCTGTTGAGCCGTACACTCGGATTCACTGCCGTAGTCATATTCCGTATCTTTGTTGCTATACTGGGGTCACTGAACCAAAGGAAGAAGTACATTCCTACACTGCTCTTTCGGCCCGAAAGAAGGAAGTAGGTATCCGCTATGTTGGGCACCAGTTCAAACTGAATAATGTCATTGTAGAAAATGTCGGGAAACTGGGCATCTTGATGACGGGGTCGAAAAGCCAGTCTATCGGAATAGACGATCACCGTCAGAGGCGTGGAGTCATGACTACCGTCAAGTATAGAACTGGCAAGATGGTCCAAGTCTTCCACTGGAAGGAGCCGTTGCGTGGCGATCAACTTCCTGTCCAAACAGATGCAATTAGAACTGCCTTCTGATCCACATTGGTAAAATACTTTTTGTTGATGTGCACGTTGTTGGCCGCGATACCCTGACATTTACTTGCTACTACCGCTGCTACACAGTCACCGCCAGAGAGAACCGTCTGCGAGGGAATGGGATCTCGTTGTTAGTTAGTTAGTTTACGTTCTTGCTGGCGCACTCTCAAGGTGACGCTAGTGTGTGCGCTTGAGTGCATGTTGACGAATGCATCGCGGATCAATGAGGGCCGTGTGAGTTTCGCTTTAGCCTGTATGAGCTAATGCCCACTGCCGACGACTAATCAAGTTATGGCTGCATGACGCGTGGGCTGCTGAACCTGTTGCTGTAAACCGTCACGGCAACATTATTCGATTATACGGTGGTACTCGGCACGCTAAGTTTCCGGGTTGATAGTCGCACATTTCTGTCAGCGCAGTGGAGGCGACTTACCAGGCCTGACAGCTGGCATGGTCTACTGCAAACGCAGTCTGTCAGTTGCGCCTTTAGGGCCTAGGTTAACTACAGTCAAAGGCGACACTAGTTACATGTGCCGCAAATACATTCTGGCAAGATCTGGCAAACTACTGAAAACATGATTTTCTTATTGAGATTGTGAAACCAAACATTAAGCACTGCGGCTTGGGGATGTTTAGTTGATTGAATTCAAAAAGCTATTTCTAGCATCGACACATTGCGTTCAGATGTCTATTTATACGAAAATGACACACGAACTGCTAGGTAAAATACACAGGCTGCGGTTTTTTAGAAAGAAGACTAATACCACAAGGATCTTGCAGTTTTCCTGTTTGTGAAAAGCAGTTGATTACTTTTATCGGGATATAAGTAGAAAGTTTTAGACGAGATGGGTATTTATTGATGGCTACAGGCCTGACTTTAGGGAATGTTCATCAAAATTATTGTCGCCGGCATATTTCTTGACGTTTTGTAGCAAGCGCCTGCAGCCGCATAGCTGAAATAGCAATCTGACGACATGTGGAAATCGTTTAATTACCTTACGCGTCGATTTGGAATTCAGCGGGATTGCACCATTTCAATAAAATGATCAGAGAAAGCACTGATTGTCATCACTGTGTACCATTTATGACGTGTTCATACCTTGCCACAGAGAGGCGTATGAACTTGTTTCAAACGTGTAACGCCAAATGTGATTGTAAGGCACAACAGTATTGCTGACAAAAAATTATACAGAAAAAATCCACCTCTGAATTTCATACACCCGACGTCACGTCAACCTCCACAGGAGCCATTGGCGCAATCGTTGGTATTTGCCTTTAATCATGGGTGACTGCAAGTCGCGGTCAACGCATAAAATCTTCCCGGTTGGGAAGTGAGGTTGCAGTATGCATCTGGTATAGTCTCTTTTTTTCCAATTTGTTGACTCATTCCAATTTATTATTTCTATTGTCAGTAGACTAGATCGATTTTCTGAGATTGAAGCACCGATACAGAATTGAATCGCCGGTATTTCGTTTCGCAATCCAGTTGGATGGGTGATTTATAGCGTGCTTGAAAAACAAATATTTTACAGATAAAAATAGAATCTAAATTGTAGGCTCGACTTTCATAGGAGTTTGAGAAATTCACATGTGGTGGGAAAACCTGCATTCTAGATATCTGCTCGAGATAATGAACTCGAAAAAGCAGAGAGCTCTTTTCAGAATTGATATTAAGATTCTTTTCCGCGGTTCATTTTTTGAATTTTATCATTATTATTTTCAAAAGACTATTTGGCGAGCATACGTATGCTCGCCAAATACTCTTCTGAATTTTCTGATGGGAATCTTCACAATTACTATTTTATTAATAATCGTACTTCAGGCGTACAATATTTAGATGCAAAAACATATTTCACCTTACATTCGAAATACGCGAGAAAAAGTACACTTTCTTTGAACTTTCCTAAACAACCTTCTCAGGCTTACAGATCTACAATTTCACTAGTTCTTAGGGCAGAGGAATCGCCTGGTTGAACCATCATATGCCCCGTTCAGAAGCATACAAAATATGGAGAGTTTAATCTCCTTTTTTGTCTTGTTTTCTCTAAACTAATTCTGAAATAAAGTAAACAACACAACAATCTGTTAGGATACTTATATCTACAATGCTGGGCGCATACTGGTTAACTAAGAGAACGGACTTGTTCTGTTGTATTAGCGCTACATACGAAGCAATTAAAGAAACACCCTCCAATTATTGGAATAGTAAGTATTTAAGATTTGTGCGTCAGTACGGAAAAAATGGCTTCAATTTTATTAGTTGCGATGCTAAAAACGGAGCTGTATACTATGCAGCAGTCGCTATTGTCACTCTTTGTTGGACGTACACCGATCGTTAAAGGACTTCCCTCATCCAGCTCTGCCTTGCGGTCCATGCTCATTACTGATCTAAACTGGCAAGGGGACGAGCCCGTGGCTCGTTGGTTAGAATGTAGGACTTCCGATCAACAGGTAACGAGATCGAGCCTCGGGTGGTTCGACTCCTGTGGTTGGATATGACTGGTGGATGACGGCGAATGTGCCAGAAATGGCCGTTCAAGTCTCCCTTATCTTTGCCGGCAATGTTCATCTCTCAGATTGCCATTGCCCATTTTAAGCTTTGCTTGTAGGTC